ACCATGATATTATATAAATTTTTAACCTAAGAATCATTACAATGTATTGCTTTCAATACATTTTTTACTCAGCATTAACTTTATTAATGCGCACAGTGATGTTGTGCCTTGGATTTCAGAATTGATGTCAAGTCAGGAGTAAGTCGTGGACTCTCAGTGGACTCTTGTTCAGCGTCATCAGCGAAAATGTTTGCTCACATATGTATGTGGAGCCAAACAGACTCATCATCCTTTGTGCGTGACGTTTGATTAAACTCGAGATGATTTCGGACAAACTAGGAAAGTGCACAGCGTTGCGGTCACTGATTTGTCTCTCAAAAAAGTCTTAGCTTCACGGCAAAGGATTTCAAGTGCGCATACATTTCCAATATGTGACCCTGTACCACAAAACAAGTCATAAGGGTCCATTTTTTGAAATTGAGATGTATGCATCACTGAGCACAATACAACAGCTTTCCATTGATGTATGGTTTGTTAGGATTGGACAATATTTGGCTGAGATACAACTATTTGAAAATCTGGAATCTGAGGGTGCAAAAAAATCTAAATATTGAGAAAATCATCTTTAAAGTTGTCCAAATGAAGTTCTTAGCAATGCATATTACTAATCAAAAATTAAGTTTTGATATATTTACGGTAGGAAATTTACAAAATATCTTCATGGAACATGATCTTTACTTAATGTCCTAATGATTTTTGGCATAAAAGAAAAATCTATAATTTTGAGCCATACAATGTATTGTTGGCTATTGCTACAAATATACCCCAGCGACTTAAGACTGCTTTTGTGCTCCAGGGTTACATATCAGCTGGTCCTTATCCCATTCTATTAACCAATGTCTTTGCTTCTGACCTTCGATGATCCAGTTTAACCGTACTAATAAGCACAAAAAGACTCTAGACAAACATTTGTGTGTCTTTTTTTATTGCTGAAGTGTGTTGAAATTTCTTCTGCATTCTACTGTACGGACGTAAATTTACTTTCTCTTCAGCCTGAGGCTTATTCATTTCACTTTTGGTGTGAAAAGGCTTTTATATTTGCCAAAAATGTAACTTTTTTATTTTACAAACAAACAAACAAGCAAGCCCTGTCCAGATTTAAAAAGTAACGCAACGCATTACTTTCCATAAAAAGTAACTAAGTAATGTAATTAGTTACTTTAGCACAAAAAGACTCTAGACAAACATTTGTGTGTCTTTTTTTATTGCTGAAGTGTGTTGAAATTTCTTCTGCATTCTACTGTACGGACGTAAATTTACTTTCTCTTCAGCCTGAGGCTTATTCATTTCACTTTTGGTGTGAAAAGGCTTTTATATTTGCCAAAAATGTAACTTTTTTATTTTACAAACAAACAAACAAGCAAGCCCTGTCCAGATTTAAAAAGTAACGCAACGCATTACTTTCCATAAAAAGTAACGTAATTAGTTACTTTTTTTATGGAGTAACGCAATATTGTAATGCTTTACTTTTAAAAGTAACTTTCCCCAACACTGGTCATCACATCATCCATCTGGATGGCTTTGGCACAGAGCGCTTCCTGGTGTATGATACAGTGCATTTTCACAGCCTCACCTCCACTTTCGCCAACTTTGTTCAAACACACGTTCCGCTCGCCGATCATGGCTGGCGCTCCATCCGTTGTAATGCCACAGAGCCTGGCCCAAGGGAGATTCAGGTTTTCAATCGCTCATGATACGGCTTCAAAAAGATCTTTTCCCGTTGTTGTACTCTTAAAGGCTCTTCATATCAAGGAGCTCTTCTGAAATGCAAAAATCACTGTCCACACCTCTCAAAAAATATTAACAGCTGTGCAGTGTCTGTGGAATCGGTGCTGTCATCGCACGCAATTGAGTAAAAATCAAGTTTTCAATTCGCCGTCCGACTGTGTTTCTTGAAAGACTGATATTTTTAAAATCTTGTATCTTTTCTGGGCAACTTATAGTGGCAACTTTCATCAGACACTTCTTTGTAAGTTCACCTTCAGTGAAGGGTTTTCCGTGCCGCGCTATTAGGTGAGCTACCTCATAACTAGCTAATGTAGAATTTTCCTGTGCTTTATTAACACGGAAAAATTGTTGTTGAGCTGATAAGGCAGCTGCCAATTGTTTCACCCTTTGATCGCGCTCGGCACCAGTGTAAAGCCCCGTTCACACCAAGAACGATAACTATAAAGATAACTATAAAGATAAAGATATTAGCGTCCACACCATATTCCAACGATATCGTTTCTCTTTGTCTTTATCGTTATAGTCGTGGTGAGGACTCTGCTAATCTTTAATATTGAGAACGATTTTTAGAACGATATCTTTATCGTTATCTTTATAGTTATCATGCTTGGTATGAACGGGGCTTAAGATTTGAAAGACTGATGTTTTGTTTCATAATGTCTTTTAACATTATATTCCTTCGTCACCGCAACGGACTCCTGGCAAATTAAACAGACACATTTCCCGCTGACCTCCGTGAAGAAATATTCAATTCCCCAACGTGTCTGAAATCTCCTGCATTCACTTTCGATTTTCCTTTTTCTTTGTTGCGCTATGACTTAACAAAATGAGATCAACAATGTATTGACCCGAATATAAGACGATGTTTTTTTCTTGGAAATACATCTGAAAACGCACCAGTTTTTAACGCGGCGCGTCAAACCAAAAAAAAAACGAGCCCGAGGCATTTTTTAAAAAATGACGCTTTTACGCCTTGCGTTTTGCGCGTCGGTGTGCACACTCACATTGGCACACTTTGTTTAGTCACGAGGCGTTAAACGTTGGTGATAATCGCACGCGATATTCGTCCCGGTGTGAACAAGCCTTTAGATTTTGCTCACCAGTGTGCGAGATGGAGGCTAAGAATTTATTAGCCAGTGGCTAATATTAGATATAATTTAGTTGCCCAGAGTGAAGATTTAGTCGCATATGCAAGTGATTACTCGCAATGTAGAGGGCTGTCCGTCGTTGCCTCTAGTTTTTTCCAGCTTCGTTCACTTTCTAAAATTAAAAATGTTTAGTCTAAAAAAGTCTCTCGAGACAATTATCCATGCTTTTATAACTTCGTGTTTGGATTATTGCAATTCTGTTTTACAGTCTCTCCAAGTCTCAGGTAGCTCGACTTCAATCGATTCAAAATGCTGCAGCTAAATTTCTTAAAATAGGTTGCAAATATGACCATTTCGCGAGCCCTCCAATGGCTTTAAAATTCTTCCATTTGTGTATAAATGTCTACATAATCTTGCTCCAAAATACGTGTCTGATTTACTGTGTCCCTATAACCCTCCTAGAAGTTTAAGATCTGGCAACATTAACTTATTGACAATCCCAAGGCCGAAACGCAGAGGGGATCGAGCCTTTTCAGTGGTGGGTCCTCGATTGTGGAATAGCTTGTTTTTAAATTTCTTCTTAAAACTCATTTGTTTTCCTTAGCCTTCAACGTGTGTTAATTGTTGATTTTTATTTCTGTTTCAAATTTGGTATGCGTGTATTCTGCTCATGATCAAGAACAAAACAGGGTCGTCTTATATTCGGGCCAATACGGTAATTTGTTGTTTTTAGCCCCTTAATTCGTATTTAGGCCTACATCTGACTAACTGCCTTGGCTGCATGTGACAGCGACACCCAATGGCTATTTAGTGAATTTCATCTATTTTCCCCTATAACGGGCCAGATACGTATACATTTTTAAAATCCCTCGCGGGCCGGAGTTTTGGACACCCCTGATATAGACAATCAAAAGTGCAAGCACTGATTTGTTCCTGTTTGTTCAGTGGCTGTGTCTGTAACAGTTCAACATATGCCAAAAAAGACAGTTTTGAGTTTTAATGTAAGGTTTTGTGACTTTCAAGTATTGCTTTAACAGTTGTAATACTTGGTTGCTCTAGCACACGTTTGTTGAAACTCTGAAGTTTTGTTTATTGCTGCAGCGTTTTAAGATTGTTAATCTGGCACTCGGAGAACAATTTTGTTACTCCAGCACTTTAAAGGTACTACAACAGCAAATTATTAAGATTTATGCCTCTATTTGTTTTCTTTTGCCAGTAAAAAGAAAATGCCGATAAAAAGAAATGTCTCCTCTGCTTTACTCACGCTACTCTCCTGCCTCGACGAGGTTAAACTTTAGCTATCCAATAACTTTTTAACACTAAATGACTCTAAGACTGAGATTATAATTTTTGGTCCATCTGATAAATCTGAGTTTAATAATTCTGTCCTGGGCAATCGGTCTCTTTTTAATTCAAGTTGTGTACGTAACCTTGGTGTTCTCATCGATAGTCGCCTAACATTAGATAATCATGTATCCTCCATCAACCCTCTACAGACACCTTGGCAATTGAATTGCCATTGATTAGTAATTTTTTTAGTTTACTCACCAGACAGCTATATATATATCAGTCTGTTGAGTAAACTACAAAAATGAAATATCTAAAATGAAATATCTGAAAGTATACGCTTAACATCAGTCAGTCAAGCATTATAATATTATAATAAGAAAATCAAGTATTATTTAATAATAATAATAATAATATAAATCGCACAAAGGATTAATGAGCTGCTGGATTCATGAATATTAATCAGGTTGTGTGCGTTCGCTCGAACTGATTCGCTGAAATCAAAACAGGGACAATAGGCGAGCGCCAGCCAATGAGACTGTAATTTGTGCATTAGTTTTTTGCCTATAAAAAGGGTATTTTCCCCTAACCTTATTAAATGCATGTGTCATCTTTCATATCAAATTCTTACATTTTATTAATAATTACACTTAATATAATAAGACTCTATAGGGCTGTTACCAATCAAATGAAATCAGTATTAACAAAACCAAATTTTTTGTTTTCCTTAGCCTTCAACGTGTTAATTGTTGATTTTTATTTCTGTTTCAAATTTGGTATGCGTGTATTCTGCTCATGATCAAGAACAAAAATAGGATCCTCCTGTGGCAATTAAGGGTTTCTATACTTGTGAAGCTTGTTTCACGGCTTCTCTCCTGTGCAGGTTTTCACGTGAGCCTTAAGATTTCCTTTTTGCGTGAAGCTCTTTCCACACAGTTTGCAGGTGAAAGGCTTCTCTCCGGTGTGAAGTTGCATGTGAGTATTAAGGCTACTTTTATGACTGAAGCTCTTTGCACATTGATGACATATAAAACAGTTCTCTCCAGAGTGAATCCTCAAGTGGGAATTGAGGGTTACCTTGCGTGTGAAACCCTTCCCACACTGATCACATGTGAATGGTTTCTCTCCGGTATGAATGTTCACGTGATACCGCAGGTTTAGTTCTGTTGTGAAGCTCTTTCCACATTGATCACATATGAACGGCTTCACTCCAGAGTGAGTTCTCATGTGGGAACTAAGGCTGTTATGATGTGTGAAACTCTGTCCACACTGAGAGCAAGTGTAAGGCTTTTCTCCGGTGTGAATCCTCATGTGGACTTCAAGGTTTCCTTTTTGTGTGAAGCTCTTTCCACACTGTTGACAGGTGAACGAGATTTCTGCGGTGTGAATCCTCGTGTGGACTTTAAGGTTTTGTTTCTGAGTGAAACACTTTCCACACTGTTGACAGGTGAACGAGATTGCTCCGGTGTGAACTCTCATGTGGACTTTAAGGCTTTGAGTTTGCGTGAAGCTCTTTCCACACTGTTGACAGGTGAAAGGCTTCTCTCCAGTGTGAACTCTCATGTGGACCTCAAGGTTTCGTTTGTGACTGAAACTCTTTCCGCACTGATGGCAGGAGAAATGACGATTAGATTTGGTCTTCTGAGCTCTGTTTTGTGAGGAAGTCTCTTCAGTCTTTGTGGATTTTTCTCCAGTTCTGAAATCACAATGTTTCTCGTGCTGATCTTTCTCTTTTCCCGTATTGTTCAGTTCTGGACTCTCCTCTTTCAGCGCCATTCGCTGAAAGAGGAGAGTCCAGAACTGAACAATACGGGAAAAGAGAAAGATCAGCACGAGAAACATTGTGATTTCAGAACTGGAGAAAAATCCACAAAGACTGAAGAGACTTCCTCACAAAACAGAGCTCAGAAGACCAAATCTAACCGTCATTTCTCCTGCCATCAGTGCGGAAAGAGTTTCAGTCACAAACGAAACCAGAATATCGTTTACATGTAGCGCATCAATTCTGCACGTTATGTAAGACTCTCTCGCTCTCTCTCTTTGCATGTGTGTGAGACAAAGTGTCTAGCCTTCTCACTAGAGTTTACGATGCGTCAAATACAGGCGCGCTGCGCATCCATTCAGATGAACTGAAAAATAGCACAGATCGCTTGACAGATGAAACTCTGAAGCGCTCCGTCAGAGAGTGTTCTGTGAGTGAAAATATATCTGTGCTACACTTATACCTCAATGAAATGTATTACAGAATATAATGGCACCACAGCGTCAGGAAAAGAGATGGCAACAGAAAGAGCGAGGAAGAGAGAGAGAGGGAAATGAGAGAAATAAGAAGAAGCTAAACCAATGGAATGAGAGTAGAATGAAGGGAGCTATTGCTGAGTACAAAGAGCTAGTGGAGGCAGGTAGCATCCCTCAGCTTCGTTTTTAGGCCAGGGCCTGGAATGCTCCGAAGTCCACCCTTCAGCGAAGAGTCAAAGGCACAGGGGACCACAAACACATAATCGTGAGGAAGCCCTTTATCTCCCAAGAAGACGCAGAGCTTGTGAAGACACGTGGCAAAAGGGGGTTTCCCCTAATGATGGAAGATATCCAGAACCTTGCATTCAAATTCGCTAAATAAAAAAAAAGGGATAAAGGGCTTCCCTGCAACCAAGAAAAAAGCAGGCTACACCTGGTTTCAGGGGTTCCTGAAGCGGAACCCTAACTTGAGTATCAGAAAGCCTGAGGGTCTTTCTGCTTCCAGAGCAGCTGGCTTCAACCGCCCGGTAGTTATGAAGTGATTATGAAAATATCATTAAGTCTCTGGGTTTTAGAAAATGCTCCAGACCATATTTGCCGAGGTTGGGGGACCATGTTTCGAGGTCACTGCCGGCGAGAAGGGAGAGACCATCACCTGCCTTGCCAGTTTGAATGCTGCGGGTGGGTATGGCACCACAATGATTATATTCAAAGGCAAACGGCTGAAGGCAGAGTGGCTCCTGGGGTGTCCACCAAACACCATGGTGAGAATGTCTGACAATGGGTGGATAAACAGTCAGTTGTTTTTTGAGTGGGGGAGGCAATTCATGTTGCAAAGCCTGCCAAGAGATGACCCACGTCCACATGTTCTCCTGCTTGATGGACACAGCTCCCACGTTTACAACATGGAGTTTGTAAACCTAATGAAGAAAAACAATGTCTACGTCCTTGGCCTACCATATCACACAACAGAATTTAGGGATTTCAGAAAAGTCTAATTTGTTGATCTAATGCAGTGGTTCCCAACCCTGGTCCTGGAGGCACCCCAACACTGCACGTTTTTGCATGTCTCCTTAATCAAACACACCTGATTCAGGTCATCGGCTCATTAGTAGAGACTCCAAGACCTGAAACGGGTGTGTCAGAGGAAGGAGACATGCAAAATGTGCAGTGTTGGGGTGCCTCAAGGACCAGTGTTGGGAACCACTGATCTAATGTGTTAGATAGATATCGAAATAAAGTCAAAGTCAAAATTGCAAAAAATGTCCCAGATTACCCGAATTCACCCTATAAACTACACAAAGAGAATGCAGAGTATGGGCAGAATATAAACTCATTACAAAATTAGACCTGTAGGTGGCAGCCTTGAATATTCTGTAATGACGTGACAAACACTGAACTCTTCGAAATATTAGTCTTGTAATGATTCCGTATACTGCGGTGAAGTGAATTCTTTCATTATTATTGTTTACTATATTTATGTGTTTGGCCAGTGTCGTTGTGGGTTTTGGTTCTTTTGCTGTTTTAGGCTGTAAGGACCTTTGAAATAACTGAAATAATTTTTGACTCTGAAAGTGTCTTCAATCTTCACATCTTCACTCTCCTCTTTAAGAACCGCCATCTTTATAATAATCTAAAAATTAACATGAGATTAATTAACAGAAAGGCAAAGTAATCCAAACTAAATCTCTGGGTGCCTCACAATCAGATCACTGGTAATGTCAAGAGTCATAGATAATGGTCTTAAAGGGATAGTTCACCCAAAAATGAAAATTCGAAACGAAAAAATGGTAGTACCCTTGCTGTCTATGGGAGGGTCAGAAAGCTCTTGGATTTCATCAAAAATATCTTAATTTGTGTTTCGAAGATGAACGGAGGTCTTACGGGTTTGGAACGACACGAGGGTGAGTAATTGATTAATTAATCAATCATAATGATATATTATTTATATTACTTTTAGCTTGACGCAGCGCTACGACCCAGAATCTCCTCCACATTTACAGTCAGGAGCTGCCTCTGGTCATTATTGCAGATGTTTGTGTCTGTAGTTGTCGTTTTGTCCAGCATGTGTCGTTAGCGTGAAGTGATTCAAAACTCCGAGTCATTTGATTCAATTGACTCGTTGTTTCAGAAAGCTCCGTTTCCCCCTTCACTTTTGAATTTGTGTTTATAATGAACCGACTCACGATATAGGGAGCAGCTTTTACAAAACAACGTGCATTAACGTTACATAAAGCACTTCGATGTTACATTCGATAATGATCAATTGACTTTAGTTTGCGTGTAAAACTATGCAATGCACTAAATCACTTGCATCGGTTTAAACAGTTTAAATGAATTACGATTCAAACCGTTCTTCAGCCGAATCGCAGAAGCGTGGCAGCGTGCAGTGCATAAATCCATCATAAAAGTGCTTTATAATGGCAGTGAATGGGAGCTGAGATTTTGAAGCAAAATTAATACATCATAAAAGTGCGTTATAATGGCAGTGAATGGGTGCTGAGATTTTGAAACAAAATAAAAAGTATAAGTCCATCATTAAAGTGGTTTATAATGGCAGTGAATGGGTGCTGAGATTTTGAAGCAAAATAAGTCTATCATAAAAGCGCTTTATAATACAAGTGAATGGGTGCTGAGATTTTGAAGCAAGATAAATCCATCATAAAAGCGATTTATAATAAAGTGAATGGCTGCTGAGATTTTGAAGCAAAATACAGTGCATAAATCCATCATAAAAGTGCTTTATGATAGCAGTGAATGGGTGCTGAGATTTTGAAGCAAAATAAGTCTATCATAAAAGCGCTTTATAATACAAGTGAATGGGTGCTGAGATTTTGAAGCAAGATAAATCCATCATAAAAGCGATTTATAATAAAAGTGAATGGGTGCTGAGATTTTGAAGCAAAATACAGTGCACAAATCCATCATAAAATTGCTTTATAATTACAGTGGATGTGTGCTAAGATTTTTAAGTAAGATAAAGTGCATTAATCCATCATAAAAGTGGTTTATAATGGCAGTGAATGGGTGCTGAGATTTTGAAGCAAGATACAGTGCATAAATCCATCATAAAAGTGCTTTATAATGGCAGTGAATGGGTGCTGAGATTTTGAAGCAAAATAAATCCATCATAAAAGCGATTTGTAATGGTAGTGAATGGGTGCTGAGATTTTGAAGCAAAATACAGTGCACAAATCCATCATAAAATTGCTTTATAATTACAGTGGATGTGTGCTAAGATTTTTAAGTAAGATAAAGTGCATTAATCCATCATAAAAGTGGTTTATAATGGCAGTGAATGGCTGCTGAGATTTTGAAGCAAGATACAGTGCACAAGTCCATTATAAAAGTGCTTTATAATGTCAGTGGTTCGGTGCTTTGATTTTGAAGCAAGATACAGTGCATAAGTCCAACATAAAAGCGCTTTATAACGGCAGTGAATGGGTGCTGAGATTTTGAAGCAAGAAACTGGATAAATCCATCATAATAGTGCTTTATAACGGCAGTGAATGGGTGCTGAGATTTTGAAGCAAAATAAAGTGCATAAATCCATCATAAAAGTGCTTTATAACGGCAGTGGATGGGTGCTGAGATTTTGAAGCAAGACACAGTGCATAAATCCATCATAAAAGTGCTTTATAATGGCAGTGAATGGGTGCTGAGATTTTGAAGCAAAATAAATCCATCCTAAAAGCGCTTTATAATAAAAGTGAATGGCTGCTAATATTTTGAAGCAAAATAAATCCATCATAAAAGCGCTTTATAATGGCAGTGAATGGGTGCTGAGATTTTGAAGCAAAATAAATCCATCCTAAAAGCGATTTATAATAAAAGTGAATGGCTGCTAATATTTTGAAGCAAAATAAATCCATCATAAAAGTGCTTTATGATAGCAGTGAATGGGTGCTGAGATTTTGAAGCAAAATAAATCTACCATAAAAGCGCTTTATAATAAAAGTGAATGGGTGCTGAGATTTTG